ATGTATATATATGTATATATAGTATATGTATGTATGTGTGTGTGTATCAAGGTTTGGAAATGAATTAGCATCATCTTTCTCTACTACTTATTAATTTACATACGTTTCAGAGAAGACTTTGAGGAAATACTGGGGTTTCCTACAGTACTGCTCTTTTCCTGCCTTTACTGCTTCTCTACCAAAAGTGACTTCACCTACCACCATAGAGATTTAAAGTGTTAGTGTGAAGCCATTATGCCTCTGAGTAGCTCGCCTCCTGGGGCATGTTCAAGGGGGAGTATTCTCTAGGTGATGTACAGATAACTGGTCATTGGTAACCACAAGCGGAATTTTCTGTTCCGTGTCCAGGTCCTCAAATATAGCTCATTTGGAGGAGGCTGTCCCCAAAGGACTAGAGGTCTTGTTTAATTCCTTGCCTCTGGCTATTGAGAACTTGGTCTCACACAGGTTACAGTCTATGGCATCCAGTTCTTCACAAATGATTTCTCAGATGTTGGACAGAGGTGGGTAAGTTCCAGTAATTCTGATGGAAGGGCCTCCATAGAGTAACTGAGCTCCAGTGGGTGGATCAGGACTCTGTAGATAGATACCAAGTTTATAGTGAGGGGTCAGTTTGTAAATAACTCAGAGTCATTGCTAAAAGTCAGACATCAGCACCCACAGTGACAAGAAAACAAACCAGTTTCAACACGTGCAGGAGTGTGTGTGCAATCAGGAGCACATGGATAAAGAATGGTATATTATATACATAAGGGAAATATCCATGGAAACAGGTCAGCTGGCATAGATGGTGTCTTTTCCTTCTTATACATTTCTGTTTGTCTGTTTAGATGAGGCCAAATGACCAGTTAGTCATGGTGGCAGGAGAAAGTAATTTCATGGAAAAATAGGAGAATAAGTGATGTTAGTGGCAAATTCAAAGTTACTTTAAACACACCAAATTACTTTAAAACTTTAACTAAAATGCACAACTCTCCAGAGCTAATATTTTAGAAAACACAATTCATATACCAAGAAAAACACCCCGAAGTTTAAAAAGAATAGTCATTGAATTGAAAATTGCATTGCAATGAAAATTGGGATTTAAAGTCACAAGAAACCACAATGATATAAAGCTAAGCTTAAACATGAACTTCTACTTCTTTTATTTTTCCAAAATGCACTTTTTATTTTGTTCTTTATCTACTTGTTGGGTTTTTGGTTTGTTCATTTTGCTTTTGCGGTTTTGGTAGGCTGTTTATATCACAGAAAGTTTTGCTGGTACAGTAAACTAGGTTACCACCAGTAGTCTTTTAGAATTTGAAGTACCTTGCTCCAGGCTCTTTTAACATTTTAAATTTTCCACTAAAAAATCAACTATCATTCTGGTGGATTTTCCTCTATTTGTGACAAGTGCATGTGTGTGTGTGTGTGTGTGTGTGTGTGTGTGTGTTTCTTTTGCTGCGTTCAATATTCTTTCTTTGTTTTGTATACTTGGTGTTTTAAGTATGACATGCATGAGAAGTTTCTTTTCTGGTCTTGTCTATTTGGGGCTCTGTGTGCTTCTTGTATCTGTACAGATTTATGTTTCCTTAATTTGGGGAAGTTTTCTATGATCCTGTTGAAGATCTGGTCTATGTTGTTTACCTAGAATTATTCTCCTTCATCTATGTTATGATTCAAAGCTTTGGTCTTTTCACAATGCCCCGCAGTTCTTGCGTGTTTCTTTTGTGTGCTTTTTTCAAATTTTTCACATTCTTTTCTGTGGCAGTTCAATTCCTCTATGTTATCTTCAAGTTCTGATATTCCATCTTCTCCTTGATCCATTTATTTAAAAGACTTTCCTCTGAGTTTTCTAATTAGTTTATTGAGTTTTTCAATACCATCTTCATTTCAACGAGAGTTTTCTTCAGTATTTCCATTTACTGAGTTTAGTTTTCAAATCCTCAGTTGTCTTCATTAGTTTGTTCAATGTTTGTTTTTGTTTTCTTGTACATCAATTAGATATTTACTGCTTTTCTCTATGTTCATTGAGCTGTTTCTGTCTTCTTTAAATGCTTTAAATTTTTGATGATGTTTATCATTGCTGTTCTAATCTCTATGCACTAGTGTTCATACAGGTAATTCTCCTTGGAGACCATTTCTAAAGGACTAACAGATTTAGGAGGAGAAATACTGTCATACCCTTTCATATTGTTTGCATTTTTTGTGATATGACCTGTACATGTGAACTTCTTTAGTTGTACATCTGATATGAGATTCTAAGCTGCCTCTATTGATCTACCAGTATCTTAATGTATAGTAAAAGGCATCTCAAACTCATGACCCTCTTGCATAAGCCTCCCAAGTGTTGAAGTTTGTATATTACCAGACTTCTAATCCCATTAAATTTTTTATCTCATCAACTTTGGACACTCCTTATTTTTATTTTTTTTTCTGACATTATAAATGAGTTATCTCTGTTCTTTAATTTTTCTATCAACAATATTCTTTCTGTAGCTCTCTCATTAATACAACTAATATTATCATGATATATGACCTTTATTTTTTAAGCTTTGAAAATGCTTAGCAGAATTTAGACATTTCAAGATACTAACAATTGCATCCTACCACTAGGAACCAATTAGTACATTGGTTTTGTGTTTGTTCCTTCTAGAAGCCTTTGATGGAAGCATGAAAGATTGTTGGAAACATAAAAATGAAAGTCCAAGTAGGACAGTTCTATAAGAGTTCAGACTAGTAATGTTGGTCAGTAAATTCCATTAACAATAAAATGTAAAACATCAAAGTATAGAGATAAGGAAAAATATACATCAAGATACAGATAAAATATAAGTACGTAGAACATTTAAAAAACAGATTAAACATGCCATGGTAGTTAAACAAGATAAAATAATTTAAATGAAGGAAAATTCATTCAGTATTTTCATGTCTTAGATACTGGAAATGTACTACATATTAATAAAGATCAAATTGTATTAAATGAGAAATAATGAGAATTTAAAATCAGAAAATGGACAGTGAAAAAAAATATTCTTGGGATATATCTCTCCATTTCCTCATCATCTCAGTAATAATGATGATTACAGTTAGTAAATTCTACATTCAGGGCTGAATAAACAAACTCCAAATCTATGTTATAGTTTTCAGAATATCCCTGTGTGTTACACCAACCATGGAATCAGTATTGTCACCACTAAGCTATATATTTTAAAAATTATTGAAACTGTTGATTAATATATAGCATGTACACAGTATCATATAATATAGATAGATAGGTAAATAGTCTTTACTTGACTTTCATTTACCATCTTTGTAAATGGGAGCAGAGGTGCAAATCTCAGACCTGCTTTAATACTTATAAACACTAAGAAAGGTCCTTAAATGTCACCTAGATGTCTTTTCTCCAAAACAATCTGAAATATTATTCTTTTCAGTTAAAATAACTATTTGGTCTATTATGTTCTGAGGCAAGGACTAGGAATAAATACAAAGATAGATCTAATAAAGGGTCGCTGGGTGTGAAAGCCACTGATACTGAGTTTCATATGATCAGAACCAAAGGTAGAGAAAGACTGAGATAACCCAATCCAGGGAGTAAACAAATAGCAAAATGCTATTTATAACACATATTTGAAACTAATTCCATAGTACATTGGTAAAGGAACTGGGATATCATATGGCACATGCCAATGTAAATGGAATATATTGTCATACTTTCAAAGCAGTTTTTAATGCCTATCTTATAGCCATAGGTATATTTTGTCTTTAAACTCCATGACACCATAGTAGAATCTATTGTACTCAAAGGAACATCAAGGTAACACAACCCACAGAACTGCTGTAGATAAGCCACTGCCTACCCAACAAGCCCAGTCGATGTCTGGCTACCACTTGTGGCCCAGAGTCTACCACAGAATTCACCCTCTGTGGTTTATATTTAAGTAATAGGATAATTTGCTCACACCCATTACCTCATCACGTTATAAATTACATCCATGCCACTGATGACTCAGACCAGAAAACAAGGCAACAGATGAATTCAGTTTTGCAGTCAGCTAGCCAGTAACTAACTTGGAAATATCCTCGAATACTATGTCAGAAAAAAACTAGATAGAGCACTAACACAATGGAGGAAAATGACTGCTCTTCATATCACTCCACCCTTAAAAATATTCTGACATTGGTTACCACTTTAAAATAGCATAAAGCAATTGCCTATTTACAAAATGCATCATAAAGCTTAAAAGATCATGAATCACAGTAAGTCTGAAATAAATTGGTGAGTGTGTAGTGCTGTTTGTGTAATGATTGTAATATGGTGCATGACAGGATTTTACATTTCCAAGAGGGATCATTGTTTTAGGGAATTGTGTAATAGTTTTTCAATTGTCTCTAAAATTTTAATTCCATTCCATAGTCTAAATCCAAACCACTATCTATCTATTCCATCCCTCATCTTTACTGGCTTCTCCACTGCCACATATATCAATTTCTCTTCTTCTTTGCAAGAAATGTATTATTCCCCTCAACAACTTGTTGAATCATCTTCTCCTAAACCCAGTCCAGTGATATATTATACACTGTAAACACACACACACACACACACACACACACGCACGCACGCACGCACGCACACACACACACACACACACACACACACAGAGAGAGAGAGAGAGAGAGAGAGAGAGAGAGAGAGAGAGAGAGAGAGGCTCCATATTGATTATATATTTAATGTCTTAATTAGCCAGTGTGATTATCAACAAACAATTGCTAAATTAATTATATATATATATATATACATATATATATATATATATATATGTTCTTAAAGACTGAGAGAATAAATGACAGAAGTATGTGTTTGTTTTAAGTATGAAAGTTTTCTACATGGTTTTCTATAAATGTGGAGCAATTTTTTCAAAGTTAAAATATCTTCCATTACCCTCTGTAGGTCTCATGTGCTATATTATGGAACTGAAGAATGGGTTTTCCACTTCTGCAAGAATTACACAACATACTATGGAAGAAGCTAGGGTCTCTCAATGGAAGCCAGATAGCTACAAGAAATGTGTCTGTGATCAGTTCACACTAGCATGCTTCATTCCAACAAGACACAGTTCCACCCTTCCTCCTTCCTCCTCATAGGGATCCCAGGGCTGGAAGATGTGCACCTGTGGATTGGCTTCCCATTCTTTGCAGTGTATCTAATAGCTGTCCTGGGGAACGTCATCATCTTATTTGTGATCCAAACTGAACGCAGCCTCCACCAGCCGATGTTCTATTTCCTGGCCATGTTGGCATGTACTGATTTGGGCTTATCCACAGCCACCATCCCCAAGATGCTGGGCATTTTCTGGTTTAATCTCAGGGAGATTGTGTTTGGAGCCTGTATCACACAGATGTATACCATTCACATATGCACCGGCCTGGAATCTGTGGTGCTGACAGTTATGGCCATAGATCGCTATATTGCTATATGTAATCCACTGAGGTATAGCATGATCCTCACCAACAAGGTGATAGCTATTCTGGGTATCGTCATCATAGTCAGGACTTTGGTGTTTGTGACTCCGTTTATATTTCTTATCCTGAGGTTGCCTTTCTGCGGTGTCCGGATTGTTCCTCATACCTACTGTGAACACATGGGTTTGGCAAAGCTAGCATGTGCCAATATCAGGGTCAATATCATTTATGGATTAGTTGCTTTCTCAGTGGGATACATTGACCTATCTGTGATTGGATTTTCCTACATCCGAATTCTCCAAGCAGTCTTCCGCCTTCCATCCTGGGATGCTCGGCTCAAGGCTCTTAGTACATGTGGCTCCCATGTCTGTGTCATGTTGGCCTTTTACCTGCCAGCTCTCTTCTCCTTCATGACACACCGCTTTGGCCACAATATCCCTCATTACATCCACATACTTCTAGCCAATCTGTATGTGGTTGTTCCCCCTGCCCTGAATCCTGTTATCTATGGAGTCAGAACAAAACAGATAAGGGAGAGAGTACTAAGAATGCTTAACCCTAAAATCCACTGATGTTTACCTCCATGATCTTCCATAACAGTTCAATAAGAACGCAATGACAGTCAGAAATAAACATTAGAAACTCTTTCTGTTAAATTTTCACAAGACAGTAAGTGATCACAACAATAGATTCTAGAAAAATATTGCTCACCTCCTTTCACTGTCCCTCAAAAGTCAGTTCCATTACATGACCCTCCATGGCTCAAAAGTTAGTACACACCATCAAAAGATATTACATAAAGGTTCCAAATTCTCTACTCTAACCTATGGGAGGTACAACAAAACCCTTTTATTTAAGCCCATGATAGCTTAAAATTCCAAGAAGGAGAAAAGAAGGTTGGAAAAAATTGGTACCCAGTGCCCTTGAGTGATATATTTCCGCATAGAGATTCTATCCAGTCACTTGTCAGAGCTAAAGTTATAGTGATAAAAAATGGCACAGAGTATTATCAAAACCAAGAATAGTGGTAAAAGATGAACAAGCATCATAAAATATACATTTAATCTCAGGTTCAGGCCTTTTCTGGAAGTTTGACCTGAAATCTACAATAAAATTCTTTGAAGGTAGGTATGACTACTTAAAATCCCAGTTCCTGTGAAGCTGAAACAAGAGGATTGGGACACATCTGGGCCCATCTTGAGCTACACAAGATGAGTTTGCTCCAGGCCACATAATGAAGTCCTGGTTCACAAAATCTAAGGAAAAGAAAGGAATGAAGGAAGGGAGGGAGGGAGGGAGG